TGTACCATTAATGAACATACAGATCAAATTCATAGAGTTTGGCGCTAGTATGAAAGAACTCAACTCTGTGACGTACTTTTCGATATTAAGCTTTATGTTTAGAACGAAACACACTCCCTTAACAACATGCACATTTTTCTCAGAGCCGAAAATTTGCTGAATCTGATGGTGTGAAGAAGTCATTTGGTCGCCGAGTAAACCTAAATATACTCATCGCTTGCAAATAGCATTCACGGTATTGCTATATTTTGCAATTTTTGATCAACATATAAATCAGTTGCATAGAGTTTGATTTGTGTGGGTAGTCATCAGTACTCACTTGATAATGCTATGAAATCGCTTGGCCATGTGACAGTCACACCTTCAGAAATTTAGTTATATTTCTCGAGCCAAAGATTTTCCCTCGACGACGTATAGTACATTCACATGGTTTTCTCAGAGCTTGGAATCCACTCTTACAGGGTTGGTTGCTCATGAATGCTAAGCTCAGCATACTAAGAGCTTGAAAAGAGTTCTCCAAGTGATTGTATGCTGAGAAAATAACGTGATGATGACAGCTACATCTGTGAAACTAGGCAAACTTCTCTTCCGACCCATAGTCTGCCCCGTATGAAAACTTGAAATAGTTACTGATATATATGAACATATATATGAATCGTTGTCACCTCAAACAATGCATTTTCTAGACGTACTATTAGTGTGACTGTAGTGGTGATACTGACCGAACAATATTTGATCGGTAAAACCGAAATTTCAAACAATCGGTTCGGTCGGATTTCGACAAAAAATCTTGGAGATCTTTTGGAGTANATTTCGTTCGGTAACCATCAGTCATCATTAATGATGAAACTGCGAATGTGATGATGGTGACGAAAACAGTTCATATTTAGTATAACTTCCGAAAGGCATTAAATTTGCAAAGTTCATCGATGGCCAACGGAGAAATTTCTCTCTTTAAGATTAATGATACTTCCGACTGAGAGATTTGTTATTGGGTCATTGAACGCAGTTAAAATGAAATCCTCAACGAACAGAACAACAGCAGCAACAACAAAAAATGTCATATTTCATCAATTCCACTAAATCGTTTCGATTTGACTGCGTCGTTTTTGAGTGTTCTGTCCGCCCGAGCGCCCACCCAGCGCACCTCAAAACCGCAAAATTTCTCTTTGATTTCAACTCCTCATGTCATCGTCTTGAAACAACCGAAAGCAAATCCAAACCACTCCTTAAAGCCATTAATTCCCACCCTCTCAGCTCGTCATCCACTCATTGCGCAGTCTGAATGGAATCACAAAATAAATTCAACTGATGAAATTCATTCATTCTTTCTCCGTGTTCAATGCGAGCAGTGAATCTACAGTGTTCTTTGTTCCCTCATTCTTACGTGATCGTAACCACTAAATTGGTCATGTTCAGTTTCCCTCTTCTCTTCGTACTGTCGTCATTCGGACGTCCTTTAGTAATCCACCATTGAGATTGTTTTTTGAGCGAAGACCCTCTTGAAGACTCATCTTTATTTTTTTGTTTTGTTCTCCGAGATCACTGTTTGTGATCAAATTTAACGTCACATAACCTGAAGTAATCATGAAGAGCGATTAAAATGATGAATCAATGCGATGAATCAAGAATCAAGCCAAAGCGATAATTTCCTGTGACCGACCATACGCCGTAATCATTCTAGATGCCAGTTGTAACCTCAGCTCATCACGTGCCATACGCAGCGTTCAAATTTACTCAAAATCAGCACATCTGTTCATGCACTTACAATTAGTCATATGTATGAATTATTCTCTTTTTTCGGCTCTTCAAATCGCTCAGTTATAAAAATAGAATGCATGATGTATGAGTGATATTAGTAAACGACGTTTCCATAGTGTCGCAAAAGGAATGAATCAATTTGAATCTGCAAATGGGAATAATAATTGCCCTTAGCGGTTCAAAATGAACGGCAAAAATCAAGTGAACATAGAAATTTAATGGTCTTTTAACCTACTTTGAAAATATCATTGAAATTTTTTGTCCGAAACTAAACGTGAAAATAAGCATGTTTTGGGGTTAAGCAACTCATCACGTCAGTTTCAGAAATCTTATCTCGAGATCTACAGAATCTCCCTTACTAACCACGGAGACTGTAGATGAGAGATCGAGAGAATATAGTGATAATTTCATTTGTTTTTTTGATCGCATCGTGATTTATTCGTTTGTGTAATTTTTTGATCATAATGAGAGGAATGAATGACCCCCCTCGCCCTCCAACCTTACGATAGATAAAAGAGTTTCTTAGGATATAAATATTTTTCTGGTCAAAATGAAATGAGATGAATACTAAGATGGGAAAAGTTTTCGATGTGCTCAAAACATTCCCTCGGTTAAAGCAGCCGTCAGTAATGGATTATACAGTCGTAATCGGTAAAAACTGGTATGATATCCCGAGTGGCGTGAAAAAATATCCATAGAATTATTGTAGATGTATAAAAAGCACCGTTAACACACCTCAAACGGCATTAAAAGTTCCAATATCATAGAAGTGAATCTCATCAACTACTATCACTAATTGTACGGTTGAGTTGAGTTCGACCGTACGGCGCCATCTAAATGTGATCTGATTGTTTTGTTTTGTGTTTTTCTGTTATTGTGTTGCTGCTTTCTGGTCTATTCTCCCTGCATTTCACCGCATTTGTGGGAAAAACCGTAGCACTTCGTTTTTTTGTCGATGGAGAACATATCTATTGAATGACAACTACTTAAGGAATGGAATGCATTTATGACAAATACTAATTGATAGTAATAAGCAATCATGATAAGATGATCATAATGATAGAAGAATAAATAATATTAGAATATTATCAATGAAACTAATAATATTAATCAGCAAAATAACAAAATAACAGTTATACTGACAATAATAATAATGATTATTTGAACATTAGTGATAATAATAATGATAGAAATAAGTAAAACAATAACAATAATAATAATAATGTCGGAGAGTAACAATAATAATGGTAGTTAATGAGAATCCAAGCATTCCATCATTCTCATTTACCACGGAGCATCCATCATACAGTATAGCAGATTACCAAATTTATTCTCATTTTCCTATGCGATAGTGGTGATTTTTATGTTGAACACTTCCATTTTAAGGGTTTTATTACGTTTACGATGGAGGTTGAGCGATATTTCGAATGAATATCTTTGTGAATAAGATCATCATTAAGAACAGATGTTTTGAGATCATTATGAAATTTACGGTTGGACATAAAATGAATTCTGAATCGTTCCAGTTGATTTCTTTTGCATCTTATGGCATCTAGTTTAATGAATAGAATTTCGCTCAATCTCTGGAACTCATTCGGAATCTTCAGATTTAGCTGAAAATTTCCTCGTTTTGGAGTTGTTTTCGCGTTCTTCTCTGATCCAAACCATCCATTATTATCCACGTCAATTAAGCAGTTGTTTCAAGAAATTTGTCGCTGAGAATTGAAATTCATTCGAGCATTTCATACTTGCCGATAAAGCTGAACTTTCGGAACGTTNTCCTTGTGATTTGAAAATTTCTCTAATGGACATATGCTCCTTAAAAGAAACCTCTTAAGTGCAGTGTTCGCAATATGATGTTAATGCAATATCGGTCTATAACAGACAACTCAGTGCAATAGAATAAATTAATATATCCGTATTTCAAGATAATACTACAATAAAAAAATTAAGCTTTGTGAAAATTTACAACGATGTTGGTGAGATTATTTATAGTGGTCATTTCAGTGTTATGGAATTTACTATATACACATTACTTGTCATCATTACGTTGGGATTGCAACGGGTGGTAATTGCAGATAATCTAATTCTGTAAAGAAGAGAGAAGGGTCGCCGCTAGATCTCGAAACTTTGACCAATTGTATGTAATACATTCTTTTCACTTGGCCTCTATTTGGGCTAGAATTACGATCAAAATTAGCTATCAGATTCAAGTATTGTGTGCATATCAAAAAACTTCAGCTTCATCTCACCTAAGCCAAAACATAACGTCAACGGGTTTATGCACAGCTGAATGTTCACTTACTTCATTACAAGTCCATGTGTTGAGTAATTTTGTTGTGGCCTTGTGGAATCTTATTATTGTTATTATTACTATGCAAATTCTATTGGAATGGAATGCGATTCAGTAGATAGTATAGCAGTAACACATCAGTGAGCAGTGTGCATCGTGTGTGTTTAATGAGCAAAGCATTACGCTCGTGACTGAATGACTAATTCAATTTGGTTTAAATATTCTTTAAATGAAGCTGGAAATTGCACAAATTGAATAGTTGGACTTTTATTTGAGGCATCTCTGCGGTCTTGATTAGGACTTTTCTTTTTATATGTATGCAAGTGAATGAATGTAAAGATCTTGTGAGCTAAGCGATAACATATGTTAACATAGTTTCAGTAAGCTGCACTCGTAAGAGAGTAAATGATC